CCGGCCTCGGCCCCGGCCCGGGGGGAGCAGCCCCGAGCGCCGGGCGGGCTGAAGGCAGCGCTCGGGCTGCAGCCGGGCTGAGGTGTCCGCAGGGCGGGAACCTCGGCCACGGGCCTTGAGGTTGTCCGAAGAGGGCTGCGTTGTCGCTGCGGTAGTACAAAAGCGTCTTGGAACAAACTGGTGGCCTCCTAGCGTAGACGCAAGGCTGAGGAGCCGACATTTCTATCCTTTAAATTCTTCTGATAGGAACTTCCTTCCTTATATTGCACTGATTCTACTCAAAAACCGACGGCGAAAGTATCAGCTGTGATGAATGGTGGCAGTTAATCCTTACCTTGAATAAAAAGCTGTATTTTGATGTAAGAACCTGGTCAGAAGGCTCAGACCTTACATACAGGTTCCTGAACAACACATTGCGAGAATAAGCCTTCCATGTAACTCTATTGGGGAAACTTTTTTTTAAATAAAGCCTTTCGCTCTAGTACAGTAATGGTAAAAACAGTTAGCCTGCAACTCAGCTTTGTTCAGACCTTGACAGTAAATGACTGGTAAGATGAAAATCCACCTGAGAGTTCTTTTGGGATGATCTGGCTAATATAGTGTGGGATCAAATTGTCCTAGTTAAAGGGCTCAACTGTTATTTTCCATTTGTAATTTAAATCTCATGCCTATTTGCATTATTTTAACTTGTTTTCATTTTGAGTGGTACTGATACAGACTGTTGGCACACAGAAAGAACAAGCCAGTGTGGTCTACTAAGAAAGCACTTACAATAAAATCTTATGTAGGGTTTTGCATCCTGTTCAGACTGTGGTTGTTCTTCAGGGGAGCTAGCTTTTTATCAGGCCTCATTGCTGCACAGTAACTGAAAGCCATTGATCTGGAAGTTGGATCCAGAAGACTAGCTTGTGCCAAATGACTGAGCTAAAGAATCTGAAGTGGGCGTGTGCAGCAAGACTAGAGTTTCTTTTAAATTCGAAGGCTGCTTCTGCCTTTATTCTAAGTAGGTTAGAGCTCGATCAGTGTCTGAACTGAATTCCACATATAGCAAGCCTGAGTCTTAGTCTTGCCTTCAGTTTATTGTTACTTGCAGCTGAACAGGTGCTTTTTAGAAAAGCTTTTCCAGGTGTAAGCCTTAATCTGAAGGACTTGGCCCAGGTCTTGTGTTGTTTTACACTTCTGTACAGTTTGGTTTTTACCTTGAAAATACTGCTAAGGAAATGGGCTTTGTTGTTCTTCTCTTCTTAGCAGTGGAGCTGAGCCTTATTATGTGGAAAGCGAGTTGCTGGTTCTGGGTATTTTGGTACCCAGAGGCAGGCAAACTGGGAGAGCAGTGCACTGTGAGAGCTGGGGAAGTGCAAGAAAGGGTATTCAAGGATGTAACAAGGCTGAAAGAGTTTAGGTGGTGGAAGCTAGGTGAAGACAAAAGCGTATGTTCTGCCATTATGCTTCACAGCACTATTACCTTGGCATTTCTTAATGGCTTCTTGGGTATCCAGCAGTAAAAAGAAGGCTGTCCTGCATATTTCAGACTGGTGTGGTTTTTGGCAAGGCTAGAAGAGCCGAGCTACCCTGGACAGATGGAGGCGGGGGTTCTCTCTGAATGGCAAAACCAAAGCAAAGTCAACAGCTTTATGAATGGATTCTCTTGTAACTATACTATCTCAGGTTGCCTCTGTGTAATCCTCACCTCATTAACTGGGTAACTGCTGGTGATTTGGCAGTATGCAGCCAAAAGGTGCCAGGTTTTATTTTAATAACAACTTGTATTAAGGGAAAACTTGCTCCAAGAAATCCATGCACCATTCAGTAAGACAAGTAAAACAGCAAAGACCGCCAAAGGAGCAAGAAGATACAGCCTACTTGGAGGTTGGTCTGTATTTCACACCACAGAAGAGCACAAAGCAGCTGTCTCCACTCACTCTTAAGAGTGTACTTGA